TTATTACATGATAGTTACATATTAATTCATATTCTGGCCTACTCGCTTGAGAAAGAGCTACTTTGTTCAATTTGTTATATATAAATATGTAAAAGTACACATCCTTATTGTAAGAAAAGTATACATATCCTTCTTAGGGATACTGAACAATGTATGTCAACGATCGGAAGTTGAAAAAGAACCTGAACACTGTAGAAAGCCTTTATGTATATATAAATACAAAACAATCTTCCTTTTGAATCCTCAGGATTGTGAGAAGACAAAAATCTGTGATGGAAAAAGGTGAGAAGTTGAAACGCATACAAATCAAGGAGTCTCTTGGGGGTCTATCTAGCAATGTGAGTATTCTTTTGCAAGCATGACTTCTTCCAAGTTTATCATGTTCAAGGCCGCCTCATTGGTTATGGCTCTTCCTCTAAGCATTTTGGGCACCTGCATTTAAAACCATAATCTGCAAGTAATGCTTGTCTCTCTTCAAAAGGAAGGTCTTCATCCACGTAAGAAATGGTAACCTGGAAAGGAATTAAGAGAGTATTTGATCAAAGTTCTATGAAAGGATACTGAAACCTTGTAAAACACACAAGACTAAAGTTGGACTTCGAATTTGGTACCTCTTCTCCCTTGGAAATAGGTTTAAGTGCAATTATCGTCGCTTGGCCATCTCTATCCTGATAATGAATAACAAGCATGAATGCAGATGCACAAAGTTGATAAAGGAATGCTTTAGAAAGTTCCAAATGGGAGTTCACTATAAATAGGACTCGAAGTTAACATACCTCCTCTCTTTTGAAGGCTTTCGCATTCGGACTACAAGAATGATTCATACAACTCTGCAGAGGATAGAAAGCTGTGCCTAATACAAAATTGGAAAATATGGGAAGTTAATTTTTCTTTTCCTGGCCACAATGAGAGAGACAATTAAACATCTGTCGACTATTATATTTTTCAACACAATTTATATAACCTGCCAAAAAAGGATTTATGTTCTAGAAACACCAAATATCTCTTTATAACGGTAATAATGAAAACTTAATTCCACCATGATCTCTTGATAATCTTACTATCTTCCGTTCTCATTGAAAGATACATAAAGCCACAGTGCACACATACTGAATACCTACACAACCCCAAAGAGGTAGTCCAGCAACAAGAAGGACAAAGCAGAAAAGGACAATTGACAGACTAAACTTTCAACACATAATACAAAGAAACTTGAAAAGAACATCATACCTTGGCAACAAACTGAATAGTCGTCGCCAAGAGCATCCAAAAATGGTCGTGTAATCTCCTCAGCTTCTTTCTGCCATGAATAACAGGGGAAAATGACATTGGAACATTCAGCTTGGCAAAATGTTAGGAGAAAAATATGAATTCTAACCTTTTCAGGATATGGAAGATCGTCAATGTATAAAAAATAATCTTCCACTGGAGATGCTACAACCAAATCACTGAAACAAAGTGAAATACAAGTAAGCCCCAAGCAAATAATATGCTGTTTGAAAATGCACATGAATTGCTTTAACTGCCACTGCCAGCACCATTTTTTATGCATGCACGCTTTACATATTAAATGGATGAGAGAAAAGGGAGGAATCCTTGAAAAAGTAAGACTTACAGATTGTTCAACTCAAACATGCCAATTATATGCCCATAGATATCAAGGGAGAATACTGGGAAGAGTCAAGGAGTTCAAATTTATAAACTCCGAGAAATATTAAGCATGATTCTAATAAGAAACATACATCAAGTTCTAAATTGGGAAGGATACGTGATTTACATTCCTCATCAAAGATGGCTGCCTTTAGGAGCTGAAGTGACTGAAAGATTCAAATAGTGCAGTTAGAACTTGTAGTAGCAGAATGTTATAGGCCATCAAAGAATCTGATTAGTACTACAGTGGATCATGACGATTAAGCACCCACTCTGAACAAGGGAACTAATGGCACCAATTTCATTTTCATAAATAAGAATTTGATCAGCAAAATGCATCCATGCACAGTTACACTCGGAATTCAAACAAATTTCAAAATGAACTTTTGAATGTACCCACATGACAGGAGAACAAATTGCTAAGGAAACAAAAAGCCAAAGAGTTGCCCATAAGATAGTTAGGATAAGTCAAACATAGTAGTTGCAACTCAATATAGATCTTACAAGATCAGTGCGTGTGCAACAAAAATTGGATCACAAAATAAATTAATTTGTCCTGAAGCTCTCAAATGACCCAAAAAAAACATAAAAACAAAACCAGGGGATTGAAACAGAATATAGTGCTCAAAATAGAATTTCTAAAATGACCCAGTCAAGAAAGTACACCGTGAATGCCAGCTCTCTTATTTGCATCCTAAAAGCAACTTCATCAGAAGATTCAACGTCAAATGGCAACGCGATGCAGTCCCACCACCTAAGAACAAATAAAATGTCAAAAGAGAAGAGGAGAAAAGAACCTTCTTGTCAAAATTTTCAAAACTACTGCATACATTTATTATGCAACTGTTGTCACCCAAAGTAGAAAGCCTTATAAGAGTGAAGTAGTACCACTGCTGCCAATATTTATTACATACTTGTGCGCTCTGCTATTGGAAACTCATTTTTGTTTTCAATCTATTATTCGAATGCTCACAAAAGAACAACTTAAGATTTTCTCAGACATGATACAGCAAGGCCTTCAATATATATAATATAACTACCTTCTCTTGTGTCCCACTGACATTGGTTTCCATGCTTCTAAGAGTAAAGATGGATAAGGGATGCCTGAAACATTAGGCTTATTCTCTTGTTCTTCAGAATGAGCCACTTTCAACTTCCTATACTTTAATATGGAGGAAGACACTGCCTGAAAAAGAAACCAAGGAACTTGATTGTCCAAGATTGGATTTACATTATATCACATGATAGGAGACCTATTGGGGATGACAAGAAAGATACGTAACACATAAAGTACCATGTAGTATTCAAATAGTATGACAGCAAAGTGATGCTCACTACCCATATCCTATCCATTCTTGACTGAACCATGCCACAGACATATCATGACAAACTGAGACCAACTAGTCTGCAAGTACTAGATCACATAGTCCTGCTAGAAGTTCAGACTTTACAAGTAGAAGACTGAAGTTAAAACAGAAGTTTACAATACAATGGTACCTTTGCAGCAAGGAGGAATATATCATTTGTGTCTGGTAAAAGCAAAAGAACAAAAAAAAAAGGGAAAGAATTAGAAGAGGATAGAGGTATAAACTATAAGATTGTAGAGAAGATATAACCTGCAAACTCATCTTACCATTGGCATGCTGTATAAATTTTACAAGTGCCTCCCTAGAGACTGCTTCTGACTTCTCCCCGGTGCAAAGTAAGGAATGAGACAAATCCCAATCAGACTCTGCACATGGCTTGCTACAAGATATTGGCAACACTATGACAAGTTATTTATTTGGTACTTCATGCCCAAAGACATAAACCAAAGTGCAATGGAAGGAAGGTTAAGCTCACTTTTACAATGCCATGGTCATAGTCCAACATGCTTCAAACAGAAAAATAAAAAAAAAGTTGGGTTACCCACCTGCAGTAGTAAGCTTCTCCACAGCCACCATGACATGGAACAGCGGGAGGTAACGGGAATTTATCAGAGTAAGGCAATTTGAGTCCACCATTCATTAAAGATTCAGCAAACCCTTTAGGAAGAGGAACTTTCTCTTTGCAACTGGAACTGCTAGGCCCAGAGTCTCCCGAGTCTTCATCTTCAGATGAGTAGTCAGTTTGACAGCAACCTTGGCTGGCAGAAACTCCCAACTCTTGCAAATAAAGTCTCCTTCCAATTTGAAGCTCAACAGAGCCAATGAAACGGAAACAGAAGCTACACACTAGACAATCAATCTGCAACCCAATTGAAGTAATAAAATGAAAACTGATAACTGATAACTGATAACTGAAAAGACCCAAAAGCAAAAGATAATATTTTTCATCAAAGAAAGGTAGTATACGAGACCTTGTTGGACGAATGTTGAAGACCCACAAGCATTTGGTCCTTGAGAAGAAGTTCTCCTTCTTTGAAGCCCAAGTCAGCGTAGACACCTGAAGATCAAAGAGCAGATTATAAATTGCATTAGCCAAAGCAGAAACGACTGATGGAAACTTGAAAAAAGGGGGTGTTACGTGTGTGTTGGCTTTACCCTTGCCAAGCTCTCCATTTTGTTTGACTTTGATGCCATGGCAATGCCTATTGCGGGATTTAATAAGTTCATCCAAGTACTTGTCAACTTGGGCAGGTGAAGGAGGTATAAGAAGAGCAGAGATTTCACTGCGCAGCTCTGCATCGATTGGACAATCGCTCTCCATCGAAACACACACAGTAGAAAGAGAAACACGTAAGTTGCTGAATACAAACGGCGGCCAAGCGGTGGACTTGCGTTTCCTTTGCGTGTTATAACGAGTTAAGCCCAAATTTGTTTTCTTTGTTTGTCGGTAAATACAGTCGAACCCAGATTACCCAAGCTAATTTTATCAGAAAAAATAAAGACTTTTGAGAAATGGAAGTAATATCTTCAATTTTTTCCTTCAAGATATGATTTTACAGTAACCTTCTTTTTCACTTTAATATAATTACATTCTTTTTCTTTTAATACAAGCTATACTCTAAATTATTCTATTATAAGGGATATTAAAAGCGATAGCCGGGAGGGAGAATTCGAACTTAAGTGCAAAGAGGACGGAACCCACATCTGCAAATTGCTAGTTCTTAGTGTCTTCCAAAAGACTTTGTTTCTCATGTGACAGACAATGTGCCCTTGCTCACCGAGAAACATCACACACCGCCAGAAATTTTGTAGAACTCAACAGCAGTACCATCCATCTTCCATCTTCTAAGTGCAACAAGAAAACTTGACAAACCATTCACCATTAAATTTCAAAACTTTCAACTTTATAACATGTAACACCAAAATTATTGTCAATGTTGGCATATAGAATCCTTTAACTGAGTAAATTACAAGCATTAACAATTTCACAAAACTTGTAGTTGGAGTTTGGATTTGATCCAATATATTACATAAATTTCAAACAATGAGATATCCCTTGAAACGGTGGGGTGATACAGAGCAAGTCTATCTGACTAGCGACTAATAACAAGTTAACAACAGCATAAGTACACCGAGACACGAAAACCATTTAGCATTAATAAGCTGGAGCTGGAACTTAAAATTAACATAAAACCCAAATGCGGGAAAAAGAAGAACCCTAGTAGAAACCTAAAGATTATATTTGTATCTTTTATTTGTTGGATCATCAAACACATCCAAAGAACTGTTCCAAGGATGGGGAGTTGAACACATTAGAAGCAGCCCGTTCAGTTCTGGTAGGAGAGATGTGAAGCTGATACTTGATAAACCTCTGCAACCAGTAAATAAATGAATAATTCAGATGACAACCATGGAAATGAGCATATACATCAGAACATGGGGCATGAGATTGAAGAATGACGTGTAGAAAAACAAGGTAAGCAATAAGAATATACAGATAATTGAAAGATGATGTCAGGATTTGTGTCAATATGCCAATCTGGTTCCAATTGGCGAACAAAAGATGTTCGTCCATTCTCTGTGCTACAGAAGAGAACCTGCAAATAAATCACAAGGATTATGTAGATAACACAAGAAATTGAAGAAGACAAAAATAACAGCATCCCAGCAAGTTGAATCTATGAAATAACTGAAATATCATTTCATCAACTAGTTGTACTTTAAGACTTGTAATTGTAAGTTGGTTTTCAAATATAACAGACAGACTTCCAAAAATGGGTAAGATAATACTAAGCCAATCAGAAAAGCACATCTTAACATACGCAAAAACCATCCTTCAAATGCCTATTGGAATTGGTGGTGTTCCACTTCAACTTCTCTGGCTCTATTAAGTCAAGTGTGGGACAAATTTCAATCAAATTCATTACTTTTTCATTCTGTGTGACCACTTTCTCACATACTGTAGCTTTTTCCTAAGTAACAACCAAACCAGTCATTTTTCATTTGAGGACCTATTGGGCCTTCCCTCAATTATCTCACCAATCTTGCTCAGGGCCGGCCCCTAAGTTTCTGCAATTACTCTTAATTTCTTTCAGTCAAAATGGAAATATTGGGATCCAAGAATACAAGTACTGGTTAGTTTCCAAGATCTTGGCTCATTCAAAAAGCTGTATTGTAAGTCTTATGAGTTCAAAAGAAAATTTGTTTGTTGATGGTTTATATTGATTAGCTCCAATTCATAAAAAGTGAAAGTACAAAAATGATTTCTTTCAAAAATAATGAAAAGAGAATATGCATAAGGTGCAGAATGAAAAAAGTAACCAGAAAGCCAAACACAACCGCCTGCACATAAAACTAATAACAAGCAAGCAGGATTATTAAAAAAATAAAAATAAAAATTGGGATTCTGAAAAGTTATATAACACTATCAACCCATATATATATTTTTTAATCAAAGTACTATCAACCCATATACCTACCTTTTCTTTCACCAAACCCCCAGATGTGAAAACCCCAGCATCTTCCAAAGCCAGTAGAACCTTTTTCTGAAAGCAAGAAGCAATATCATTTCGCAAATGATAATAAAAACGAATATTTACAACACAGCAATAGGCATAGATAAAACAGTAGAATTTAAACAGCATGAATAAGAAATGAAATTAAACAACATGCATGAAAACCTATTAATCTCATAAAAAATTACAGAACCCAAGCAAAATGATTGATACAAAGAGGCTTGCACGCACTTCAGTTTCATCGTCGAGAACTCTTTCCATGAGATACAAATCACAAAATTTTGTGATCTCCAAGAGTACTTCCAGCACTGAGTACCTCACAGTCACTTGTTTCTGCCAGGCACAAGGTAAAAAAAGTAATGTTAATCCTTTTCCAGTTATTACAACGTCCACCACTAAATTTACAGAAAGAATGCTACTGGAAAGACAATCAGACACCTGAAGTTCTTCTGGGGTACTTTCCTCAAGGACTACTCCAAGTAAACGACAAGTTACCTACAATAAACTTTAAAACATGAATTTGTTGATGCAAAATTACAAAGAAAAAACTTTCATGCTTATACAAATTATTCAAATTTTCATTACATTACATGACTTCCTAGGGTATCACATAGTAAATACCAGCTACTTAACCAATATGACACATTTGAAGCTTTATAGTTTTAATTATGAAGTGCCGCTAAATATAAAAGTAAAACCCAAAGGTCGTATAGCTTCACTATATCGAGAAGACGAAACACAAGTTCTCAATGACACTTACCTTTCTTCCTTCACTCAGTTTCTGCCGAACTATTTGCCCCAAAGTTGGCTGGAATTAGAAAAGGAAAAAAGACAAAAAAAAAAGATTCAGCATAAATAAACAATGTCAATACAAAGTGGCATGCAAACCCATCTGGCAGACATTTACCTTTACTGGCTGAAAGAACTCATCAACAACATTTTGTGCTCTTGTGTCCTCTGAAGATGAAACTCCTGAAGTTGTCAATGTTGCATTTGACTGTGAACTGATGCCAGAACTACTGGATGCAGGTGCCTGTCTCTTTGGTTGCCTTCTCTGAGGTCCACTGGGTGATCTCAGCAGCCTCCAGGTGAAAACTATTGCAACAGCAAAGCCCGCGATAGCCCCAATAGAACGTGAATTCTGATAACATTGAAAAATCTTGAGACAACTCAACTTCAACATCTCTATTCCAGCATTACTTTGATACTTATAAGCCAAAGATGAAATGTAATAGAATGGGATAATCCCAAAAAAAAATTGATAATATAACTATGAAATCCACTAAACCCATCAGGCTTATAGAATTCTATTTTTCTTGTAACATACGTTTTAGTCTGTGCATTCGATCTTGAAACAGAAGAAAATAGGTAAAATCTACCCCTTGACACGGTTACATTAGCTTCACTTACCTCTTGAGTATCTCTTTACCCTAATGTGAATTCTGATAACATTGTAAAATTTTGAGACAGCTCAACTTTGACATCTCTATTCCAGCAATACTTTGATACTTATAAGCCAAAGATGAATCGTAATAGAATGGGATAATCCCAAAAAAAAAAAATTGATAATATACCTATGAAATCCACTAAACCCATCAGGCTTATAGAATTCTATTTTTCTTGTAACATACATTTCAGTCCGTGCATTCGATCTTGAAACAGAAGAAAATAGGTAATATCTACCACTTGACACGGTTCACATTAGCTTCATTTACCTCTTGAGTATCTCTTTATCCTGGGGCAATTCTACTTATAGCTTTGTGTATCAGTTGAGAGCCAGTCATTGTACAAAAAGTACACTAATGCAGGAAATGCATGACACAGGGTTTCTGGGTACTAACTAAAGACATGCAGCAGATTCGCAGCACCCATCGCAATTCACAAATTGGAGATATAGTAATGGAAATTAGGCTTCACTAAGTTATATTGAACTGAAAGGGCCAATGTTTGCAAGTATGTCTCTTTTTTTCCTACGCTACAAAGTATCAAATATGGTCATCCCAAATTTCTCTAATTTCCAGTTATGGATCATTTACACATCAAATTTTCTCAAAAAAAACCAACATCCTAAATAAATTCACGTTGAGATTAGAACCAAGTTGCACACAAATCAAATGAACAAACAAAATTGGAACATAAAATGATAAACCCATGAAGCAATTCAAGATAATTGACAGATATGAACAATTTTAGGCGGGGATGCCATTCAGATCCGTCAGAAAATTTGACAAGATAAGGAAAAAAGCATGAAAAAGAGGTAAGAACCAGGTTGTGGAGGGAGATCGGGAAGATACTAGACATCTTCACAGTGAGGTAAGCCCCGAAGCGCTTGATGAGCTGAAGCAGCTCTTCTTTCGAAGACTCGGCCATGGGTTAAACCGACGACTAGTCGTCGTTTTGAAAAGCTTAGGCGTCGGCGAAGCCAAAGCTTCTGATTAATACTCAGCTCAGGACCTCGGCTCCTTCCCCTCGCTTTTATCTCTGGAATGTACAGAGAGCGAAAGCTTGTGCCTTTTTGTCAACGATGACAGAGAGAGAGAGAAGAGTCTTTGATGCGAAATTGCGATTTTTTTATTTTCTTTTTTCTGTCTGTGTTTTTCTTTCAATAGTTTTTTTTCTTTTTCTTTTTGCTACTAAATTAAAAGCACATATTTTATTATATTATATAGTTTAATGCTTTACAATAGAGTATTTTTATCATACATGAACATTCTGATTTTGTTTTCTACATTTTTTTTACAAACGATTGGGGGAGAGGTGTTCACATAAATATTTATTGGGTTCTTGGGGTTTCGAACCTTTACCTGCATAAATGGAGGTGGAATAGCTCAACCAATTCATAATTTTCTTATATTTCCCATACAAGGATGTTTTGTACTTATTAAAACAAATTATTTGACAAATCATATTGTTATTGTTTACTAACTTTATATGATGTAACAACTATTTCACAAATCAGATTCTTCTTGTTACCAAATTTATATGGTGTAACATGGTACTAGCCACTTGGTTATTTGTGTTACTACTTGAGGAATTTGTTGTGAAACCTGAAAAGAATTGGGCTTATAAGTGAAACTAGCACCAGAAAGAAGTTCCTGGTTTAGCTTTCAACCTTATTTTTCCAATAGCAAGAATTAGTATTTGTGGTGTTCCTGTTTGTTCTTGATATTCTTTCGCTTTCTAGTTTTGTTGCTTAATCCAGGTGAATTTAGATGAAGTTAAAGTGGGGAAAAAAACAGTAGTAGCACAATCACAGGAAGCATAGAATATCAAATAGGCCAGACAGAGAATAAGTGTTGCCTTGTACTCAAGGAAACTGAAGTTGGAACTTCATATATAGTGTTATTAGCTACATGTTTCAAATTTGGAATTTTGATTAAGGTTGGTATGGTTAGAGGATTAATTAAGAGCCTTAATTAGAAGGGGCCATGAATGGATGTAAAATGCCTTGGACTTCATCATATTTGCACAATATAATGCATGAAAGGTTAGCTAGCAGAATTTCGAAAGCAACCCAATAATCTGTATGATCCTCAGAATTCAGCAGAACTTATGTTTCTATCTCTAAGCCCACCAAACTGCATTCATAGTCTAGATTCTAATTATAAACTCCAATAATTTCAAATGCAAGTCAAGAATTAATTCCTTTTGTATAATACTCAATTTTGGAAAAAGACGGTCACAAAAGCTGAAGCTTCTTCTTTTACATGAATGATAAGTGATCTTAACAGAAGAAAAAAAATGGGAAAGAAAAGAAAAGGTTAACCATGAGCCTCTCTAACCAACATTATGAACCTTGCTAGCCAGAGAGAATTAAGATACAGAAAAAGAAAAAAGAAATTGAAAAACAGTTCATCAGATCAGTCCACAATCTTAGGTGGTGAGGAACTCTTTGTGTTTTCTGATATCTGAGGTGGTAAGGAACTCTGAGAATTTTCCCGTATTTCGGCCACATCACTGAGGACTAACAATGGCCTTTCAATCCTTTGGCATGCCCCATTGAGCATCATTTCTTTTTCTAAATGGAAGCAATAACTCTCAAAAACTCTAGAGCTCACCATGACACCAAAATCCAGCAGGAAAAGCAACTCCACTTCTAGTCTGTTCAATTCAGCGTTGCTTACTCCGCCAACCCGGGCATAAAATGCATTGTTATAATGCCTGCAGCATGCATGTTGTAATGTAAACAGAAGAACAAACACAATCAAAATTTACAGCATCATGAACATGGCAGACTTCTATGTGCTGGTGTAAACAAGGGCTGACTAATTCCAATTCAGGAAAAATATTCTAGTACTAAATCAAATGCAGTTTTCCATAGTAATTGATTTTATAGTATTCAAATACTCTGTTGCAGCTAGCCATACAGAATTTGGGGCAATCTGAATCAAATGAATTACACAATGAAACAAAATTTGGAAACTTTCCAGCATATCATTGAGAGAAATCAAAATCCCAATTCATGAAAACAAGGAGAGGTAGATATATATAAATAAACTTACACATCATCTAGCATCTTAGAAGCAATCATAACGCTTGTGACCAGCAATCTATGGACATTCAAGGACAGCACAAGAGAGTCAGGGTGCTTATGAAGCAGCCTATCTATGTACACATACCCAACCACAAAACATGAAGGGCTACAATCCGTGTACTTGTAGAGCCTCTCCAAGTACTTGGGTATGCTTATGCTTGGTGCCCTCACGCCATGAAACACATTCAAGCTCTTCCCAATCCCAGCCGAGCCACAACTCTGTCCATCAAGTTGCTGGCTCAGGCCATCTGCAAGCGTGTTATTTCGAGCAACCAACTTCTCCAGCACGAAAGAGAGTATGGTTAACACTCTCGGGATACTCGGCTCCGGCCGGCCATGGTGATTGGTGAACTCGTCGGTGGCTAACATTTAGCTCATTATGGTTGTGGCTACTGGTTTTCAGGTGGGAACTGCGAGGAAGAGTTTTGGGTGGTTTAAGACTAGAGAGGGTTGACCTTGCTGTGCATATTATCTGGGTTGGGTTGGGTGGCAACGACTGACGAACTGGATGTTTGACACGTGTGCATACCATTCGGTGGCTGGAGGCTGGAGCTATCGAAAGGTGGTGGTTTGATAAGTAGCTGGAATTTGGGAGTGACCTTGAGCCAATTGATTTGGTTTGAAGGGAATCCCACAAATGCATGCGATTTGGAGATAGGATTTTAATCGGCCAGCACCAAATCCATGAAATAAGTGGTGCCAATTGATTTGGTTTGAAGGGAAACTTCCTAGAATTGAATTGCGAAGGGGCAGATCCCAAATTTTTTTATCTTCTAAGCAAAGACAAAGAGGCATCATTATACAAATGTTGTTTCACAAAATGAAGTGACGTATACATTATCTCCTCACTGTTGAAGAAACGTTTTTCATTTGTTCATGTAAATTGAAATTGAAAAAGGCGATGAGCAATCCCACTAGGGAAAAAAATTATACAAAGCTAGGAATGATGATTCGAGGAAGAGAATAACTGCTTAAAGGCCTATACACTGTGGCCATTAGAAACAAGTAATCTTTCTTCCTCATTTGCGGTGTCGCCCATGGAAAGCTGAATGTTTGACTTAGAGTTCATCTTGTTCCACTCGTTTTCTACACGGAAGAAAACCCATTGAAAGCGACGGAAAATCTCCAAGGCTGTGATTGCGAACACAGTAAGGTAATTGTGGCGAAGATGGGAAGACAGCTTGTACGTCCAGGTACAACGCAGAATCAAGTTGCTACTTATCACCCAGAAGTAAACCTGCAACACATTTCACATAAAATAATTTCAAGGCCAGTCACAAGGTGAGTCATTTGGTTTGCATAGGAGTGTCAAGGCCACCTTGCATGGGATTAAGGGGACAAAACCAACCAGGCTATGTGTTAAATAATTAGTTTGTGTATTACTACTACTGACACCAGAAGAATGGTATATACTTACCCATTTCCGTCCATGTATGAGGTTTGACAAGGGATGTGCTTTGCTGAACTTGAAAATCCGAGTGAAAGCACTGACAAAAGGAAATCAGATATTTAGAGGGCAGAGCAAAATGATACTAATGATGCAACAAGTTGAAAGCATGAATAATCTGTGTTCTAACATTTATCACTGCTTTACAAAGAAGCAAACCATCATCAAACGACATAAAAAATAAAGTTCCCTGGTTGTATGAACACATGAGTTCATTCTAAATCTGGTTGCATGAAGCAGTGATTGCGTGGTAATTGTATCTGATGGATATTTCATTCCAGCAGTTTGTTAATGTGTTGATTAAGGTGACATCGGAACGAATGTGAAATATTAAAGTCACAAGTTCAGCATTTATCTACTATTAATATTGTGTGAAATAAAAAGCATTTCACCTACCTCAAGTCCCAATCTCTAGTCACGTCCCAGTAGAACGAGTACAAAGAGTTCAAAACACCTGATAGAAGCCAGAGGGGCCGATAAAAGTTTGTCCACTTCTCAGGAAAGACATGATATTTAAGGGCTGAAAGATAAATCACAGGTACTGCAGTTGAATACTTCAAGGCTGAAATCAGAAGCAGATAAATTTAGTACTGCAATGAATCATAGTTGCAAATGAAAATGTAACACGCATAAAAGTTCTATCTGTGAATGCAAAAGTGAAATGTTGAGAATTGACAGAAGTACTTGCAAACTTAACTTTAATTAAGAGAAGGGGAACAGAATACCAATTGCAAGATCAAAAACTAAATTTGCATATACCAACTGTCTAGATAATAGGATGTGTTTAATGGTATTTGTAATATTTTATTTTACATAGCAGTGCAAAACCAAAATTCTCTAAGTGTCTCAAAAAAAATGAATGAGTGCCACTGAGGCTCTAAGGAGGAGAAGAAACATGTCCAAATGAATTGAGGAAAAAATTTGAGGCCAGAGAAAACCATTGAAAAAGATACATTTAAGAAAAGTGGCCAAGTGAGCATACCATTTAGAAGGGTTGTTTTCTCTCCAGTATCCTTATATTGTCGAAGGCATTGGAACAAACGAAAAAGGTAAGGCGAAACAAGAACCAAGGGGATGGCAACAGAGTGACTGCCACAAACTGAGTCAGCTTCAAACCATGCAATAGTGGCAACCTGTTTTCAAAGAAAACATCTTAGAAAAAAAAAAAGTGAAGTATCACCAATATCTCTTTAACAAACAAAAGTCAAACAAGAACCGAAAGGAGCAGGACTGTCATGTGATCTCAATAATACAATAGCAATTTTTTTTTTTTAATTACGAAAATCGATAAAAGATTATTATAAGTACATATGAAAGAATAAAGTTTTTTGTCATCAGCAGAAAAGAGAAAAATTAAAGCAAAAGGCATGGACGAAGAATCCCAACTCAAAAGTGAAACCCTAACCTGTCGATGGACCATTCGACATACTGATCGCTCCAAATCTGAAAGCACCTGCATAGAAATGACAATCATAATCAGAATAGAAAAGCATAGGGGAAATCAGAAATCTCATCATAGATGCCAAAGCATTTCTTGATTCTGCACCCCTATTAGGTTAACCACATATACTATAATTCCTTAATCAACACCTATATTCTACTTCTATAAATAATTAATTAAAAAGAAAAGAAACACATGAATGTATATAGATACACACTACACAATTATCAACATGTTTAATATATCACAAAGATTACACTCATGTGAAATGACTTGGATAATGGTAAAATTAAACATAAGATGCATACCTTGGACATGGATGTCAAAATATCGGCCAGGAAAAAGTCAGAAAATGATATTGCCTGTATTCGGAAAATAAGTAACAAACATTATTTAAACATCCTACACACAAACAACAAAAAACTCAAAGCACTAGTTGAGACCAGAATATAAACTCCATTCCTAAGCAACTGGAAGTAAGTAATTGGTTTGGCACTGCAGTGCTGCCATTCTGGGAAATTTATAAGAGGATAAGGTTCAACTTTCACTTTTCACTCTCATTGATGATTGATTAGTGAAACATACTTTCTAATACATACAGCGGTTACGCATGTAATGGGACCCACATTAGCAATCATCGCAAAACTTAGTGTGATAAAATCCGTATTTCATACATTCAAGTTCTGAGAAAACCATAATCAATTAGTCACATCCTGTTCACAGTGCTGAACATATATCCAGACAAAGTAGGGAACCATCTCTAGTACAGGGAATAATCATGAGAGGCAAAATGATAACTTTGGCCTTGTAGAAACTGAATGCTCTTAACAACATAAATAGACATTGGGAAAATAAACCTCTAAGCTTCTTAGAGGTTTTGCATTGACAAGGGAAATCATATCACTTAACAAACAATTTTTTTTTCACCTTCACAGTTATCTAGCTCAAATTCCAAAAGATAAACAAGCATTGTGAGAATTATTTTGCCAGTAAGTAGGAAACAAAAACAACAGACAGCAAAAGGAGCAAAATTTTTTCCTGAAAGAAACAAACTTGCCTGTAATGGGAGAACTATACGCCACAGAGTCCTTAACAAGTAAAAGCGAGATGACAAATAGAAAATATCAAAAGGGAATATCAAAATCATTGCAACAGCAGCATATAAGAGTACCTGCAGAAGAATGTATGTAAAACTTAGCACAATTACAAGATACTAAAATTGAAGGAAGACAAAACGTGGGCATTGACATTGTCAGTATGATAAATAATGTTAGGCAGATAATATAAACAATCATAAAAATATAACTGCACCATTTATTCTATGCAGTGGAATACATCATTTAGCTTGGAAACTTTGGTCATTCAAACAATTTCCTTTGAAAAGGCTGGTTATTCAAACAATTAAACTTTCGTTTTTTAATCACGGATGAAAGTGGACTTATATAAGTATTTCATAAATCTTGTGAATTTTAGGTAAACACATATATAAACAAAATATTGAAAATAAAAAAGATTTAAGCATAAAACTTAATCATTACAGGAAAAACAAAGTCTTCAACATGCATAAACTTCATTGCCCACCACTATGCTTCCATTTACAATTAGGCCTACAGAAGTGCTCAATAAAGAATTTCACTTGATATTAACAAAAACTATTGGAACCACTTTTTCCAGTCACAAAGTTAAGCACGCTTTGCAATAGCAGTTTTGGGGTGGCAATGTACTGCCAAGTCTCCTGTAGTACCCTTCCCTTTTATTTATAATAGTCATGCGTATATATATGTATAAAATTAGTATTAAATACATAATATAATAGTCATGTCTACAACAATGAGACTGGATGCATCTATTACACTGGTTGCGATGCAGCAAGTGACACTTCTCCATGCGAATAAAGATAAAGATATGCTGTCATGCTTGTTGGCACAACGATTGTCATCCATGTGGCACACTGCAAATAGCATATTGAATGGTAAGAGTGAATCAATGAAAAAGGAGGTAAAAAGAAGGAGAAAAGAATCAATGGCTGATATGCCAAAAGTAGTTGACCAACAGCATTCCATAAAGAAAACATGCAACCTCCTATTTAAAGAAATAACTAAAATGCAGTATGCTCCTCACAATTAGTTTTCTTCCAACAGCAAAATTGAAGATATGTTTTGTAATATGTTTTTAAAAAACGCATTGAAAGCTACATGTTATGACTTCCTACCTTTAAATTAAAGAATAGTTAACAAAAAAGCCACTATACACAGTCAAAACAGATGAAAAATATAATTCCATAAGAAACGTGAAAATACAAACTATGCATTACAAGCCTTATGTTTGTATAGCATAACCATTAAAGTTGACAACAGCACCAGAAAATAACTCTTAGGCTAATAACTCAAGATGACTGACTTAACGTACTGGTACCTTCCATATTTCTCTGTGGGTCAGATGATTTTGATCGAGATCAAAAATTTTTGCATAATTGACATTGGCCTGAGCAAACACCCATAGATTAATTCCCCAAAACCAAACCATCATAGTCTGCACATATCAAAAACAGAGGAAAAGATTTCAATATAAGGATATAGAATGCAGAAGTATGATAGGATAGTCAATTCTGAATAAGAAACCATAACTAACCACAAGAAGTAGAGGATTATAATACAAAAAAGCCTCATATAGAAATAAATCTCGCAGATCCACACTCATCCTCATGACAGAATCCCATCCAATCTGCAAATTTAGAGGGTAGTTTGGTTACAACATCCTTGCAGCATGATCAATATTAATGTATATTG